GCAAATTGCCCCACTTGTCCCCTCCTCTGGGCAGCCCTGAATTAACCATTGGAACAACTGACCAAGGGCCGTGGCGGATTCTCCATCCCTGACAATTGTCGAATCGCTATTGGATGTTTTTCTAAAAGATATAATCTAGGAATTATTTTGGGGCAGTTCTCTGGCCTGTATGATACAGGGGGTCGGACTGGAGGATCACAAAGGTCTCTTCTGGCCTTGCAATCTATTCATCTATAACAAGATCCAATGGCTGGAAGTTGAAGGTAGGCAAATTCTGACTGGAATTAAGGCACAAATGTGTAACAGTGAGTGTAATTGACCATTGGTACAATTTACCCTGGGACAGGGCCGGCTTTAGGCGGATTCCCCCGAATCGGGCCCCACGCCTAAGAGGGCCCCGCGCCCTAAAGAAGAGTGCCTAACTTAGGCGCCTTTTTAATTTTTACTCATCTGGTGGCACTCCGGATCTTCGGCGGCACTTCGGCGGCAGGTCCTTCAGTGCCGCGGAAGACCCAGAGCGAAGACCTGGAGCGCCGCCGGGTAAGTCATCTCTATTCGAATCGGGCCCCGCACTTCCTAAAGCCGGCCCTGCCCTGGGACATGGGGGACTCCATCACTGGGAATTTTAAAACTGGATGTTTATCTCAAAGATACACACTAATTCAAACAGGAATTAATCCAGGGAAGTCCTACGGTCTGCGTTACACAGGATGCCAGACTGGATGATTATAACGGTCTCTTCTGGCCTTCTGCTCTGTGAATCAGGGAATAATGCATACGCACAAGAGGGGGGCGAATTAAGGTTGCACAGGTAACCTACATTCTGGCATTTCCTAGCTTCTGAGTGCTTGCCTTTGCAACCTTATTCTTTGAACATTTTAAACATAATTTCCTAACATAAAAAGCAAACAAACAAACCTGAAGAAAAAGAAAAGAAATTCCATCATGTGGAAACATATGGACCCCAACTGGACACATCAGCAGGGTTCAGACCTTTAGATCCACAGCACAGACTGTGATGACTTATGCTCACAGAGTAACTGGTAGCAGTAGTAGGCTGTTATCCTCTGTCTACTAGAGGCGGGATGAGACACGCTTTGCCGGTGGGTTTTATAGCTATTTTCAGACAGCAAAGAAGACTCAGGACTCCTGGTTCCATTCCAGAGTCTGTAGGGGAGTTTTCACCTTCTGACCCAAGCCCCCAGCCTCTCCCTTTCCCCTCTGCTCGTATCCAACCCTCCAGCTCCTGCAACCCCCTCCCTCATTCCCATCTGTTTTTCAGCCCACTGTATTCCATTGCGGCTGCTTCCTTCTTCTCCATCTCCTCTCTGCCTGCCGGGGGAGCACTGAGAGCATAGGACAGACAACCTCCCTGCTCTCAGTTCGGGGGCCTGGCACTGCGGTGGTGTCCCCAGCAGAGACAAGCAATGGCGGGGGAAGTTCTGCTCAGGCCCTGCAGTGCAGCCCCTGGCTGGAGCATGCTCAGTTGCTCTATGGGGATGGTGCGTGTATGGTCTGGTCATACAGTAGAACCTCAGAGTTATGAACACCTTGGGAATGGAAGTTGTTCGTAACTCTGAAATGTTTGTAACGGAACAAAACGTTCTGGTGGTTGGTTCATATGTTTACAGCTGAACATTGACTTCATGTAGCTTTGAAACTTGACTATGCAGAAGAAAAGTCCTGTTTTTGCTTTGGGTTTTTTTAGTAGTTTATGTTTAATACAGGACAGTAATTCCCCACTTAACGTCCTCTCGCTTAACGTTGTTTCTATCTTATAACCCTGCTCAATTACAGAACATGCTCCATTTAAAGTTGTGCAATGCTTTGCTATAACATCGTTTTGCTGTCTGCTTTGTCCACAGCTGGCAGCCCCCCTATCAGCTCCCCTACGCCCCCTCGCACAGCGCATCCCGCCCACTGGCAGATCCCGCGGATCAGCACCTTCCCCCTCCTCCCCCCAAGGCAATCAGCTGGCTTGCAGCATTCAGGAGGGAGCGGGGAGGAGCGAGGACTCGGCGTGCAGGCTCCCTCTCTCTCCCCTGCCTCCCAAACGCCACAAACCAGCTGATTACTGTGGGCAGGAGTCGGGGGAGGAGCGAGAATGCGGCGTGCGGAGTAAAGGGGGGGGGAGAAGAAGCAGGTTAAGGGTGGGACTTGGGGGAAGGGGCGGAGTGGGTGGGCCAAGGGTTGAGCCCCCCGCCCCTGGTGCTTGTAGAGTAGGGGAAGCTGCCGCTGCTGCTGCGCAACGTGCTTCTCCTAGCCTACAGCACCTTCAGCCTCCTTACCTGCCTCATTATCTCCAGTGCCAGTGGGCTGGGCCTGTGTGGGGGAAGGCGGGGGCACCTCCCAACTATAGTACTGTACTGTACGGCCCAAAAAAAATTCCGTGGAACCTAACCCCCCCATTTACATTCATTCTTATGGGGAAATTGGATTTGTTTAACATCGTTTCGCTTAAAGTCGCATTTTTCGGGAACAGAACTACAACGTTAAGTGAGGAGTTACTGTACTGAATTGCTTTTTTTGGGTCTCTGCTGCTGCCTGATTGTGTACCTCCCGTTCCAAATGTGGTGTGTGGTTGTCTGGGGTTTGTATCTCTGAGGTTCTACTGTACTTAGGAGCTGAGGGGATAGAGCATGCTCAGTGCAGATAGTCTCGTCAGAGAATTTAGTTGCCAAACTCTAACAAGTCTCTACTGAGCATGTACACACAGATTTCTTCAGAGATGTATAACGTGGTCAAATGTGGGCGGTTTTGCCTGGAAACAGAAAAAGCACATCTCTGACGCCAGGGTGATGCCCCTGCCAAATGTTGTGACCCCCCTGCTCCAAAGGATGGGGGTGCTGGAGCTTCCAAAGAAAACAAGTTGTCAGAATATTTTGTAGCAAATGCAAAACAACGTATTTTTTTCTTAACTTTGCTCTTGGAAATAACGGAATCATTTTAGCTGAAAATTTAAAATATAGGAATATATTCAGCCTGAGGCAGGCACCTGGCATGGAAAATTTCAACCCAAACAGTTAAAGTTTGGCAAGTAATAATCAGCTGAAAACAGGGACCTATAATGATAACTGTCAGGTAAACTTAACTATACACATCACTTCAGCTCCACCTATAATATATAGTATAGATTTTTAAAGGCAAAATGACATTTAGGCACATCGTTCCTACAGAACGTCAATGAGTCTCGAGCCATCAGTCTATCTGGTCTCCATTGCCACTGCAAATATTTGAGCACCTGTCAGGACGCTCTGAATAATCTCTTGCCTACGTGGGCCGGGCCATGTTCAAGCCAATCTGTATTAATGTTTCAAGTGAGATTTCAGGCTGTACCAAACATTTTGGGAGAATGGGGTGTGTCTTTCAAGCCCCCGGCTGTGTTTCCCTCGAGTGCCTTTAAACTGTAACTGATAAAGTGCAGTGGGGCCGGAGACAGAGAGAGGGTCACCGTCCTGGACTCAGGGTGGAGACTCGGAGGCAGCTGGACTCGGGTTCCTCTGTGGGGAAAGGGGTTAATTGAGTCAGGGAGTGTTGACTGATGGCTCTATCCCTCTCTCTCCATATGGGGTCTCTGTCTCAAGGGATAGCAAATGGCAGATCCCCAGAGTGCTGGGGCGGGGACTTACCTACTTCTCTTCTGTGTTGAAGGTAAATGTTGAAGACACTGTCGAAATGTTACCCAAGTCCCGGCGAGCGCTCACAATCCAGGAGATTGCTGCCCTCGCCCGGTCCTCCCTGCACGGTAATACCAGGGGGCCTCGTGTGCGTGTCTTGGAGGGGTCTGCCATTGGGGGGTATCCTACTAGAAGAGGGGAGTTTCATGGGATTTGGAGTGGGGGTGGGGATGTCTCACTGGGGTTTGTGTCATCTGTGGGACGAGCTTATGGGGACAGAGAGTGTCTCATGGGGGGGGTTCCCCAGGGATATCTTATTGGGGGGTGGGGGTGTCCCATTGGGAGTGACATGGGTGGGTGCTGGGTTTCCATAGCTCCACCCTCCCGGAGCCCTGCCCGCTGCAGTCCCTGATGCTGCCCGGTGTGTTCAGGTATCTCGCAGGTGGTGAAGGACCATGTCACCAAGCCCACGGCCATGGCGCAGGGCAGGGTGGCGCATCTCATCGAGTGGAAAGGCTGGTGCAAGCCCACGGACTCCCCGGTGGCTCTGGAGAGCGCCTTCAACTCCTACTCGGACCTGAGCGAAGGGGAGCAGGAGGCCAGATTCGCAGCAGGTGGGAGCGGTGCGAGGGGCCCGGGCGCATGGACCCCAAGAGGCTCCCTTGAGAGGGCGATGGAGGGGAGGCTCCCCCCCAGTTAGAGGAATGGCAGGAGGGTTATTGCCAGGCCCACCACAGAAATGGGGCCCTGCCTCACAGAGCTCCCCAGGGGGACCCAGCAGAGAAATGGGGGGAAGGAGAAATGAGGACTAAGCCCCCACTCTCGGTTTGGGGAGAGGGCGGAGTTACCCTTCATTGGGGCGCTGTGAAGCACCCCGGTGTGGTCCCCTCCCCCTGCAGAACCTAGAGGTGGTGGGGCTGAACTCTGAACAGCGCGCCCTAGCCCCCGGCTGAGCACGGCTCGCTCCCCTGCTGTGGTAGAGAGGGACACGCCCTTCCCACCGGCTCCGCCCTCACGGCCGTTCGGTACCACTCCCTTGCTGGTAGCGATCCCCATTGGCCCATCCCTGCGGCTCAGACCTGGGTCCTGGTCGGCCGGGGAACAGGGGACAGCAGGGCGGCGCTGTCGTGTAGGGCACCCCCTCTGCCCGCTGTGGGGGTTCGCCCTGACGCCTCAGTGAGGCCTCCACACGCGCTGTTGGGATGGACGCAGCAGACAAGCCACAGCAAGGCAACATGGAGAGCGTGCCCCCGCCCCGCCAGGGTCTGCAGACGGCACAGACAGTAGCCAAGGCTCTGCGCTCACCCCAAGCGCCCGTGTGGGCTTTGCTCGCCAGCTCTTTACAGAGCACTGTTGGCAAGTGGGTCTGGTTTGCCACAGCCCGGAGGGGATCCGGCCTGCCAGGGAGGGAGGCGAGGAAGGGCCTGTGTCCTGGTTATCGCTCTCTGCTCCCCTGGGCGGGCTCTTCTGAGCTGGCAGGGCCCGGCAGGCTCTGTCCTTGGAGATCCCTGCAGCACCAGGCTGGGAGCTGAGTCACTGAGCGAGTGGGAAGGAGGGAGCGGAGCCAGAGAGGGAATCATTAACCT